TCAGTCTTCCAAGAACATTTTTTGGTTTCTAGAACCAAAATAACCTCATTCTTTCCTTGGAACCTCTTGGCAGTTAAACCTGACTTGTATTAATTATATGACAGCTGGTTGAGGTATGGTGGCTCATACCTACAATCTCAGACCCGGGAAGGTGGAGACAGGAATATTTCAAGTGTTTCAAGTTGCAGGCCAGAGTGTGCTATATAGCAAGCCCTGCCCCCACTACTTCCTAAAATACTTTTATTTTAACCATAAACAGTTTTATAAGTTATGCTAAACAACATGTCATTAAAATTTCTATGTTGTTTTTTAAATGTACTCTAGTAACACTATCCTTTCCCAAAACAAAATTAACCCCTCAAAATTAACGAGTATAATATTTGTTCAAAACTATAGATGGTCAGAATTTTATTCATACTTTAAAATGAGGATCACAGCTTTACCGAAGCAACCCCCATGAAGGTCTAGTCTGTTTCCAACATACAATGCTTAGCTCTCTGAGTCTGTTGTCTATATTAAAGCCAGATTAACCTCTGGAATTATGTAGCTCTTTCAAGATTAGTTTTGTTGAAAAACCATCAGTGACCTCTTGTACCAAAGAGTGAGGCCCCAGCCCACTCAGGATCCTGTCTTTTCTGTGTCATATTTCCTACCTTGCCCTCCAGTCAGTTCCTACTGGCAATGTTTCCTCCAACAAGTCTTTTTCCCAACTACCTATCTTATCTCATCTGCTGGCTCACAAGACAATCCGTACTCTACTACTAACCTTTCAAACCCTACTTCAGATCCCTCCAAAAACATTTCCACCTACTACATGTGTGTGTTCCCCATCTCTCATTATAAGTTTCTTAAATACAAGTTCTGAGCCCTGTGTGGTGGCACATGCCTATAATCCCAGCACTTGAAAGGTGGAGGAAGGAAAATCAGGAGTTCAGGCTATGACTGGCTACAGAGTGAGTTTGAAGCCAGCCTGGGCTACATGAGACTTAAAAACAAATACAGAATTTGACAAAGACCAGCAACACTATTTACTATAATTTTAAGTGATGTATATGAGATTATTTTTATAACAGAACTATTAGCAAAAGAATGTTTGCTTTGAACCATTTTTGTTACCAGACTCTCCATCTTTAAGTCCCTTACCTAGAGCATAAATGGAGGCAGAGCTAACTTCTAATTTGTCTGTATTGAGAATGACGGAATCCACTGTGGGATTTCCCACAGCCTTTTAGGCATCTCATTATAGTGTATAAGCTACTTCTTAAAGTAATCAGCTAAAGAATGATGTTTCTTTCTGAGTCTTTAAAGAGCTTAAATGTTTGAGCTTCATTTTCTTTTTTCCATCAGTGATTCCTGTTGATGAAGATTCTTTATGGCTACTTTCTGGAATGTTTGGGTTACTAGTGTAGAGCTTCTCAGAGCTTTCTTGGGTTTCCTGGATGGCTGAGTGGTGACCTTTCTCCATCCAGCAGCAGCCCTGTGCTCCTATGGTTCATGTCTCTTTGTGGTGCAATGACTTCGTCAAGCACACAGGCAGCCATTGCCCTGTGTTAGCTATTGGACACTGACCACGTGTCTCACTGGTTGCAGTTAACCTTGTGTGCTAAAAGTAATTCTTCAGCTTGGCTGTATTTTGGAATCATCTGGAGAACTGTAGGAAAAACTTAGGCCTAGGTCCTACCCCCACAGATTCTGATGTAATGGCTTTGCGTGTGGCCTGAACTTTGGAATTTTTTTTAAGTTTCCTATGAGATTCTGATATGCACTCAAGATTGAGAGCCACTGCTTAGGATTCTCTTTTGTTTACTTTTTTTGTTTGTTTTTGTTTTTTCAAGACAGGGTTTCTCTGTATTGTTTTGGAGGCTGTCCTGGAACTCACTCTGTAGACCAGGTTGGTCTTGAACTCACAGAGATCTGCCTGCCTCTGCCTCCCGAGTGCTGGGATTAAAGACATGTGCCACTAACACCTGGCCTTGTTTACTAAATTTTGTGAAGTTGAATTTCTTTGTTTCCTGACTTAACTCTTAACTCTTTGAACAAAGGGTTTATAACTCTACAGACAAGCTCCAGAGTACTAATCAGGAGCCAGTCTTGTGAATATTCATCCCTGATGCTCCAACGTGTTTGCCTGTGTTGAGTATGTATGCATGTTACATTAACAGAGGGTTTTTCATGACATAGACATTGTACAGTGTCATGGGGCACACTAACTTACTTCATCCCTGGGAGCTAACTGATCTCTTATGGCAAACTCAGGAGTTCTCCTGTCCAGTGTCTGTAGAGTATCCATGACTGTCACATGCAACTCAATGTTTACACAGCTTCCTGTGTCTCTGGCTACCACCATTCCCCACACTGCTTTAAGCATCTAATAGATCTTGTCAAATCCCAAATTCCTGGTCCTGGCATTGGATTTGGACAGGAAGTTGCTTCCTCATTTTCTTCAGTAACAAAGGGATGATGAAAACCTTAATAGCCACTTTGTAGACTTGGTGTGAGGATTTCTCAAGATTCCCCCTATGGAAAGTGCATTATCCCTAATGTATAGTAGGTGCTTATCAGACAATAGCTGTCATTATTATTAAGAAACACTGTTATCGTCAGAGCTGCCCATTCCTCCCCCTTGCTTTTCTACTGGCACTAATTTGTATTTCGCACGCTCAGTGTTCCTCTGAGTCACCAAACTCCTGACCAGTTCTTATCCCCTCAGGCCTCACTTGCTGTATAAACTAACTGCTTCTCCGCCCTTCCGTCCTTCTTCCTCTTTCCCACCCTTAATCTGCCCTACACCCTCTACTGAGAATTTCTCTAATCAGATACCACTTTTGCATTATTCCCTTTCGTTTCCTCAATAGTCTATAGAGGTGCCCACCCCACCCCCATTCCCTAACACCCACGTCAGGAATAAATCCCTTTTCTAGTTGACTTCAGTCCTTGTCTGTCCTGCATGCCCACCATACTCCAGGTTATAGAGGTCCTCTGCATCTGTTGAACACAATTCAATATTTAGTCCATTTCTTGCTGCTCTGAACCAGTATAAAATTCAGATTCTTTTCTACTTGCAAGTTTAGTGTTATTTAATTTTCTTATTGTTGTGACCAAATACTAGCCAGAAAGGAATTTAAGAGAGGGAAGGTTTATTTTGGCTTATAGTGCAAGGGGATATAGTCTATCAGGTCAGGTTAGACATGGTGGCAGGGACAGGTGGTGGATTGTTTGCATTGCATCCTCGATCAAATGGCAGACAGATGACTTCAGGTACTCAGCCCTCTTCTTTTTATTCACTCCTAGACCCCAGGCTCTGGAATGGTGCCACTAACATTTAGGGTGGGCCCTCCTACCTCAATTAACCAGAACTAGAAATTCCATCACAGACATGCCCAGAGGTTTGTTTCCATGGTGATTCTAGATCCTATCGACTTGGCAATTAACCACTTAGTCTCCGATTAAGCTCCTCCCTGAGGTCTTTTCCATTTTGATCTCTACTCACACACATTACTTTTCTGTGACATTACTATTATCTTCTATCCCACTGATCTCAAAAGCAAATACCCAGGAAGTCAGGCAGCCTGTGTCACTCACTGAGTGTATGTGAGGGAGTGGAGTCCAAGGAAGCAGTCACCTATCTCCTTAAGGAGGTTCAAGCCAGTTGTAGGAGTTTTCATAACGTTCAAGAGAAAAAGATGTTTTTCTTTTACTTGAAGTCTCCTACTAATTTTTCAATGCTAGCAATTATCTAGTGTTGTTGTTTTTTCTTTAAATGTAGGGGGCAAACAGTAGACTGTCAGGCTGAATATAGCCCTAGGGCTATGGTTTTAACTCTTCTGTTTTAGCTTGTATTCCACCTAGTTTAAGACTTAATTACTTGATATGTTTTATTTCTGTCTTCTCAACCAGGGCATTCATTGTTGACTATAACACAAGATTAGCGATAAATAACCATCCTAGCTAACTCGTTTGTTAAAGAAATTTTTGCTAGGCACCGTGACTCATACCTGTAATTGAAGCACTCATGAGACACAGGCAAGAGGATGGAAAACTCAAGGCCAATCTAGGCTAAATAGCAAGCTCCTGTCTCTGCGAAATAACAACGAACCCACATACATGCACACACACACACACACACACACACACACACACACACACAGAAATAAAGAAATCTCATGAAACTCGAATGCTATGCAATGAACAAGACCGTATTTTATTTTCTGCTTTTGCCATGTCTCATGTCTGATTCCCCTATTCATCATCACTCTGACATCTCAATAAGCTACCTAATCACATGTGATACACAGATTTTTCTGTGGAAAGAGGAAGAAGCCATGTTATATTCATGCGTTATTAATAACACTTTTTAAACAACAGAAGGCATACTTTTAATCTATAGCTATTGTCAGTACTGGGCACATTGAGAATGCAGTAAATATTAATACTGTTTATTCTTTGTGCAACTGCAAGATATATATATTCCTCCCACAGTTATGCTTGAATTCTGTTTTTATACGAATCATTTTCTCCTACAATGTAAAATAAATGTAATTATATTTCTAAAATCATTCTTAAACATAATGCATATATAAAAAAGCACTTTCATGACCCTTCGCGAGACTTCCTTTACAGTTTCCATGATATCATTTCAACAGGATATCTACAGCAAGCAAAGATATTCCATTCTGAATAGCTATCCTTAGGCATAAATAACTCTGACTCATTCTGGTTTGGATGGAAAGGAGGAACATATCTGAGAAACAGTGAGCATATTTGGCTGTTTAAACAGAATCTTTATTCTCAGCCAAAAAGCTACTAACAAGAGTTTCTGTTAAGAGCTTCCCTAAGCTGTGCTTAGTCCTCCATCTTTGGGGTGTATTGGGGGAAAGGGTGATGCAGAATCTGAAAGCAGCGCCTAAGTTTTCTTTGCTAACTTGTGGTAGTCTTTCATGGTGTTGTGTCGATACTGGCACAGGGCACGGATCCAGCTTATCCCTTTGTGGTTACTACAGGTACTCAGCGTGCCAACGCCCGGGCTCCAGCCCCTTACAAGAGAGATTTTGAAGCCAAACTAAGGAACTTTTACAGGAAGTTAGAGACTAAAGGATATGGACAAGGCCCAGGGAAATTAAAGTAAGTAGAAATGACACAAACCACATGATTTATAGATGGTGAATGGGTGGGAAGCAGTTGTGAGTTTGAAAAATTGGGTGTCACGTGAGTATTTTAATTGGCATTATTACTTCGGAATTTACAAATTACACTATAGTGATGTAAAATGCTCAGGAACTAAGAGCTAGTAAGCAAGCTTATGGTTTTCAGTCAAGCTAGGGCTATGTAAAACCACAGACAAAATAAAAAGATGATTTTTTTTTCTCCTGGGGAGTCTGATATTCAAGAGATGTATCATTATCACAGTGTTTTATGGCGAATGTTACTAGTTCCCTGGCTGCTGTGAGCACATGATAATTATCAACCCTATTTTGTTCTGGGAAACAAACCTCACCGTACAGCAGAGCCTGTCGTGAATGCCATGCCGCCTCTCTTTAGCCACCTCTTACTTGTCCAGGATTCTTCTCCTGCCCATGTGTACCTCTTTCCCTTCTTCCCACCTCTGTTCCCCCGTCCTATGTCCCCACATAAGCTCTCTGTGCCACCTGAGAGAAGACAGAGGCGGGAAGGTCACTACATGCCCCGAGTACCCAAGGGAGAGCCAGCCCCCATGCTTACTGCCCCAGGCACAGGGATGTTTGCTCAGTTAGTTCCACTTTTATGGACCTCCAGACACATCAATCCAACCCCAATTCCATATCTCTCTGAACCGCGCTTTTCTTTTCCTCATGCTTGAATTACCAAGATCTTCCTAAGTTCAGACTCCCTGCTATTTCCTTGTCATTATGTAGACATCAAGGGTAAGCTGATACCTGTAGAAGATGACTTTAATTGTCATCATCACAGTAGATTGTCACAAGCATCATTCATTTTAATCTACCCATTAGGGAATCTCAAGATTCACTTAATTTAAAACTTAAGTACACTTGTAAACTCTTATGCTTCGTAGGACACACGTATGCATGCACACACCCTCCTGGTTCTCAGTGGACGTTCAGTAATTGAATTCCATGTTTAGGTGCATTTCAGCCTTAAAAGATTCTCTGTCTCTCTCTGTGTCTCTGTGTCTCTGTCTCTGTCTGTCTGTCTGTCTGTCTCTCTCTCTCTCTGGGTCTTCCTTCTGGGATAAATGTCTTGGCCACTCAGAAAGGACTCCTGGGTTTTTTACAGGCCACAGGTTTACCCATGATTCTCTTATGTAACTTTTGCTATTACTGTTAAGGAGTTAAAACACAGATTTGTATTCAAGTACAGACAGCAATGACATTAAGCAGCTTCACTCCTCACCTAGTTAATTGTGGTAAATAGAAATTAAATGGCAAGAAAGATAAGGAATAGGAACTAATCTCTGAATGGACTTTTCAAATTGTCTCTCCGTGGACAGGTTAATTATCCGAAGGGACCACTTACTAGAAGATGCTTTCAATCAGATTATGGGCTACTCCAGAAAAGACCTGCAGAGGAATAAGCTGTACGTCACCTTCGTCGGGGAAGAAGGGTAAGTAGAACAGGGAAGTGGTCTGTGCAACACAGGCTGTGGCTACAGAGCGGATGTTTCTCTGCATCTGTGGCTCCCGAAACAGGAAGTCCTTCTTGCAGGAAGTGTTGGTCTTAGATGCTTAAACAGTGTGCCTTTTTTTTTTTTTCTCGTTTCCTCTGGTTTTTAAATCATTTGGCATAGGATTTTTTTTAATTAAAATAACTCTTACCAGTAATTCATTTTTTCAATTGGAAGGTCAGTTTGGTTGCTTTTCTCTGCATCTATCCATCTTTTGAAGGGGAAAAAAATGGAGCTTTGAGGGGGAAGGGAACAAGGACACACAGTTTACATCTCATTTTCCACCCCAGTGAGCTGAGTAGAATGTGTGTCACCTGTTAAATAAGCCCCAGTTCAGAATCACCGATGCAGCTAGTCTGTCCGGAAGTGCCCACAGCAACCACGCCAATGCCTTTGCTCCTATTTCCCCCGCCTCCAGTTCTCTTCCTTTGGGAGGACAGCATACCTCCCAATATAACCACCTACTGTAAACAAATCATGCAACATGACTCCTACATGAGTGTGCTCATCTAGATAAGGGTTGAGAAACAAGGGCTGGGGCTCCCACACTGACTCTGCTGCACCCAGGTAGACATAGCATTTCTTAATGGATTGCCTTAGACTGATAGCTTGCCTCCCTCATAGGCCCCTCCTTCTTCCTATCTCAGGACTCAGGGCTTGCTTTGTAGCTTGTAGCTACTAGATACAATTTTAAAAGGCCATGCCCAGCCTTAATACATGGGGAGATTCTTAGTCTTATTCCAATTTGACATGCCGGGCGTTGGTGGCTTGCCTTTAATCCCAGCACTCAGGAGGCAGAGGCAGGCGGATCTCTGTGAGTTCCAGGACAGCCTCCAAAGCCACAGAGAAACCTTGTCTCGAAAAACTAAAAAAAACTTAAAAAAAAAAAGAGCACCCCTCTGAGTCTTATAGTGAAGAAGGTTAAGGAACCATTGTTGTAATCCAGGCAAACCTGGCCCCGCCTCTTACCCACCTGTGCAGGGCAGGTATATGTGTGCTCTGGCTCTTTAAAAGAAAAGGTCCACTCACTTCCACTCCCCCCATCCTCCACCCTCACTTCCTCTGAAGGGCAGACAGGACCCATCCTGCCTCCCTTCCCCTTCTCTTCTGTCCTGTCCCTGTGTCTCTTTACCTCGTTTCTCTTTCCTTCCCTTATTTTCTTATCTCCCCCTCAATAAAACTTTCAACATGAGTCATGTCTGCAGGTCTCTGTTTCCCCATCTGCCTGCCTTCCGTCACTGGCCCAGTCCTCACAGTCCCAGCACAGGACTAGGGACCTGCCGCACACAGTCCTAAACCGTGCTGCTTTATTCCTAACCATAGTAGTGATATCCCACCAATTGGTCCCCCACTATGTGGTAGATAGAATGGGGGTTTAAAGCACAGCATGCCTTACTTGTTCATGGGTCTAGAGAATAGCAAAATGAAGGCCCAATCCCAGGCCTTAAGTCTTTCTCCTGCCACCATTGGATCATAGTGGGATGTAAGAAATGCCCCTTATCTTTAGTCCATCTGGGTTCTGCTTTTTCCTCTGGAATGCATTTTAGCATTCCAGATGGTGACCAAACACAAGAAGTTTGGGCTTCAGTGCAGCTGAGACTTAAGCCTTTCATGACTAATGTACACATGTAAATGGACTTGGAGCTTGTGTTAGTATGCCCAAAGATGCAGGTGCATGGTTGAAAACGGAGGCAAGTGTTGTTAGCCTTTTCACAGATATGCAAAGGATGTCAAGTATTTCCTTACTGGATGAGTCTGGTTTGGAGGAGAATAGTTTCTTCTCCCAGAACTCCAGCTGCTTTCTTTTATTATTCAACCAGAGACTTTTTTTTTTGACACATGATCTTGCTATGTTGTTCAGATTAGTCTTGAATTTTTGATGCTGAGAGCTGCGTCTACAGATGTACATCTCTGTTCTTCTGGCTTGGGCCACAGTTTGTTGAGATCTCAGACATACTCTTCAGAAGCCCTAGTGGATACAATTGAACAGAACAGATGTTTGACAAGGGCGATCATTCTGAGGCGGTCCACCATATTCTGGGCTGATGGTATCAGTTCCAAGCAGAGCTAGAATCCTTTTTGTTTGGTGACCACTGGCAATCAAGTGCTTCCTGCCCCTGTCACCTGCCTACTTCCTATGACAGCAAAGGAAAAACAGAGAGAGGATGTTTTGGGAGTAGTCTCAGTTATCAGAAACAACCCCTAATCTGCTCGCTCAATGCATGGGCTATTGACACAGTGTTTCTGGACTCAGGTTCTATCAAGTAAGTATCCTTTAGATAGGATGTAAGATATAGGCCCTGTCTTTCAGTTAGGATACTGAGAATATGTCTCCTAGCTTTGAAAAAGGAAAACAGTTCTCTTGATGAAGAACACAGAAGCCTCAAAACTACATGAAAGTTGAGAGAAAAAAAAAAGACTTTTCAAAGAATCACTATCACATTAAAACATGTTCCTCTCTGGATTATTTAAAATGCCCATATTTTCCCATTGGATTTTAGAAATGGAACTTCTCTGTTTCTCCAGATTTAGTGCTGTCAGATTATTTACTTATTTTTAAGTTCTTTAAGTTTAAGTCTGCTGTTTGGCATTTAAAAAGAAGTATGTCTGTTGTTCAGATATTGGCTTCTAGTTTTTCTTCAATGCCAAGGTTCCTTGAAGACAGTGTTGATTCTAGGCCTGGGAAGTATATGCAAGATGGAGTCTGAAGTGTCTCTTAGTGCCTGCTGTAAAGTAGGGGAGTTTTTCAACAGCCCAGAGCCACAGGGTGTAGGAGCCAACAGAGGCCCCAGTGACCCTAGTGAGAATAATTTCAGCTACAAAGTGAATAAGTAAAGGAATATTGAACTGTACTCCAAGTGATTGGATACATGATCAAATGAGGAAGTAGATGGGAAAAAGAAAAATCCAAATAACCCGGGATAATTTCCTAAGTGTGGATTGTATAGTGGCTTTTTCCCAAATAATACAGCAAGGATAAGTGAGTTTGTTCTGTTGAAACCTGGAAACAATGTCTCAGTCATTAGTCATGTTGACAGTGTGGCCTTCAAATGAAAATCATACTTTACCCACACTCATAATCACAGTCTATCTATAGGAAAAACACAGGACAATTCCCAGTTCTTACATTGTAAGAACCTCTTACCAGTATTCTTTTTTTGTTTTGGGAGTGTTTTGTTTGTTTCTTTCTTTCTTTCAAGACAGGGTTTCTCTGTGTAATAGCCCTAGCTGTCCTGGAACAATATCTGGAGACCAGGCCTCAAACTCACCTTCTGCCTCCTGAGTGCTGGGATTAAAGGCATATGCTACTATCACCCAGCCAGTATTCTTGAAATCATCAAGGACATTGCAAAAAAAAAAAAAAAACCCCAAATAATAAAAACGGAAGAGTTTAAGAGAATGCTATAGTCAAGAAGAGAAATGATTGTTAAATATAATGACACTTTTCTAGATGAGATTGTAGAGATACCAAGTGTAAGTGGATGAAATCTGGATCAAGTATGCATTTGTTATACGTCGGTATTTTTTTAAAGATTTATTTATTTATTATGTATATAGTATTCTGTCTGCATGCTTGCCTGCAGGCCAGACGAGGGCATCAGATCTCATTATAGACGGTTGTGAGCCGCCATGTGGGTGCTGGGATTTGAACGTGGGTCCTCTGAAAGAGCATCAGTGCTCTTAACTTCTGAGTCATCTCTCCAGGCCCATATGTCGGTATTATTGGCTAGTTAATATGGCAGTCTATGACAGACACTGAAACAAGTTCTGTGAAAGTTTATTCCCAAGGAAGTGGAACCCTAAGTCACAGATCTGCCTGCCCAGGGATAGGGTTTGGAGGTCTTGGTAGAATAAAGAGACAGGGTACCTGGATGCGTAGGGGAAGGTTAAATGAAAATAAGATCCACTCCATACATAATCACCCCTGTCACAGGAGTCCCACTGAGGAAAATCATACCATTAGTGTAATCTAAAAATGTCAAGTAAGTCATACTGGTAAGGTCCCCTTGAGACAGACAAACATGGCTCCAAGTTTCTGAAAAACAACCATTGCTTTCGGTGTTGTTAGCAGAGAGGATGGTGGGTGAGTTTTGAGTAGCTGCCTGGCTAGCTGGTGATAGATCAGGTGAGGCTAGAGGCCTTATCTAGGCTTCCCATCAGATGTATTGATGAGGAATGTTCTATACTGATAAGAGAAATTCATAAAGGCAGTGGAAGAGCTCTTTGCACTATCTTTTCTTATAATTCAAAAATTCTAAAATAATAAAAAAGTTTAGCAAATGAAAACATTTGGTTAGGATTTGGAGATTTAGCGGATGTTTTCATTTTGAGTTTTCTTGTTGCCTTATTTTTAGATGGTTGACTTCTCTGGGACTGTTTTCAGTGTAGGCCTTTGTCATTACGGCCAGTATAGTAACACATAGAGTTAATTTTGGGAGACATCTCTGTTAAGACTAATAGTAGCATTCAAAGAGCATTATTTTGTGTCAGCTTTATACTAGCCATAAGGGATTAATACATTTTAGTTATTGTTGATACTATTTCAATGATTTTATTTCCAATCTGACAACAGTCAGCCTAGCTTTGCTAATACATAAAGAAGAGTGGATATATTTTTAATAACAATGCATTTACCTGTCCTCCAAAATAGGTGTGGATTAGCAGCTTCTCAAAAACAATAGCTATGCTTTATGCTATGTCTTCACAAATATCTGAAACACAACATATAGGTTGTTCCAGAAGTTAGGAATCTATAGGATACTGCAGATGCTATCTGAGATAGAATTAATCCCAGACTATTGGAAATGCCTGTCTTCAGTTTCAAAGTACAAAAATCATCCTTGGGCCTATAAATAGAGATGCATTAGAACAACTTTTTTTTTCACTAAAATTAGTATTTGTGATAGCCTTGGCTTTTTACAAAATGTAGATAGTTTCTA